TCCAAGCTCCGTCCAGCCTGGCCTTGGACACTTCCAGGGATGGGGCAGCCACAGCTTCTCTGGGCAATCTGGTCAAAGCCCTTTGCTCAGAGAGCACGAGTACAAGTTTCAGTCCCCAGCAAAAGTAAAACCACGATCTTCACCAAAGAGAGGCAGGCAAGAGAAGAGGCTGTTGCACTTCAGTGGGATATTCCAAAATAGTTCCGCTTTTTCCTCATGGCACAGGAAAATACTGAGCTTTGAAGTGAACTGCAGTGCAGAACACTGTGAGGAGTGGTGGCTCCTGCAAGCATCTGGAAACCTGGATCCCAGTCAAAAGTGACATAATTCAACCCTCTTTGTGAGAGTTCAAAGCCCAGAAAAAGCCCAACCTCTGCTTATCTGGTGAGCTTTGTAACCAGCAGAGAAGGTACAGTGTGTCTCCAGATTCAGCAAAAAAACCCCTGATATCTTTTCAAAATGACTGGTTACTGATTGTGAGTGTTCTGCATGACTGCCCAGAGAGAAGAAAAACGTCCTTAGGAACAGTCTCCACAATCATCCATAATAACAGAACAAGGCATCATCTTCAGAAAATGTGCAGCTTCCCCCTGACCTGCCTGAGGAGACTGGAAGTGTCTCTGTGACGAGATCCAGAGCCCGAGACTTGAAACCCATTTGGATAAGAAGGAAAATGTAAAAAATGTATCTTCTAAAGAAAAGGAGATTGATATGACAGCTCCTGAACGAATTGGGTTCCAGGGTTTACAGAGCCCATCAGCTCATCTCTCTGCTTCATATTTGGTGGTTTTCCATCTGCAGGAAAAACTGAAGTACCATCATTTAGGATGAACTTTGTCCACTTCACGATGGACGAAGTTATTGGATCAAAGGAGGCTGACAGATGAAGGGTAACTAGAACTGGGTTTGCTGCTCTGCTTTCCATGCTGCTGTTTATTCTAAAATCTTCAATAATGGGCAAAAATCTGACAAAGCAGAAAATCCCCAGCTGTCCTGAGCTCATCTACCACTTGCACAGCTGCTTAGAGAAGAGAACCTGCTTGGCTGAACCAAAGGGATTTCAGAGGGAGCAGCAAAACTTAAGAACTGAGCAGGTTTAAGTGAGCAATGACAATATTAATGAGCTCAATATCAAGCACAAAACAAGGGAAGGAAACATTGGGATAAGCCAGTGGGAGCACTTGGGGAGAAATGGCAGGAATTCAAGAATTTGTCTAAATACAGAGTTGTATTGACTTCATTTAGCTGTGCTGTAAAATGGTTTGGGTAAATAAGGTCAAAAGACTAAGTAGACACTTTTCTTTCTCTATAAACCATGTTTGGAGTTCAAATATTGGGAAATAAATTTGAAACTAACCAGCAAAAAATCTGTTTCTAAACCAAAGGAAGAAGAATTGAGGAAGTTTTTGCTTGCTAAGTTAAATGAGAACAAAGGCATGAATGGAGAGGGACAAAGAAGGCAGAGCCAGTGAGAACAGGGTGGGGGGAATTACCAAAGGAAGAGTCTTGCTTTGTCTCCACTACTGATAGATTGGATCATCTTCTCTAGCCCCATTGTCCCTGATATTGAGGCTTCTGAAGTGAAACTGGAGATCTTTTGTAACTTTAATGACACGGTTTTCCTGGACTGGCCCCAGAGGAGACAGGCCCAGCTCAGAGCACTCTGAGAATGCACCAACAGCTCAAAGTTAGCAAGTGTGCCGTTGTGTTCTGCTGCTCCAGGGCCTATGCTGGCCCTGCAAACAGCTCTGCCACTGTCAGGGGGATCCTCACCCAAAAACTTCTACCTTACCAGGAGGCAGAGAGAAATCCAGCAGAAACAATCAGCTGGCAGCCTTCCAGTTCGCCTTGGAAAACAAGTGGATTCCTGGTACAGCCCAGGTTCCTTTTGATGCCTCAGGAAGTCACTCTTTCCTCTTCATTTGTACACCTGACACCAATGCTGGGAGCAGCCAGGTGCCCTGGATACAAACATTCCTGTCTGAGCTGGTCCCTGAAATCAGGGTCTGAGTTTTCTGTTCTGAACCTCTGCTTCAGCGTAAAAGTGGGATCCAGACAGCTCAGTGTTTAAGGAATGCCGAAGTGAGATGTGACTTCTTCTGTCAATATTTCGTCTCTCCCTGCTGCAGCGGGCAATTCCTTTGTTTCTCATGGCTGACCCTCTCCTGTGGGTGCTGAGGGTGTGACAGACGTGTCCATACCCTTCCCCTCACCTACGGACACAGTGACTCCAGTGAAGAGATCTGGCCAAGAGCAGCAGGCAAGTCACAGCAAAAGTTAAGAATAGAGCCTGACTTTCCCATCTCCCAGGTCCCACTGTATTTCCTTGGGGAACCACTGAAAATGTGTGAGAAATGCAACTGTCAGGGACAGGGTAGAAAATAACCATTTCCAAATCCCCTCAATAACTCCCAGGATTGCTGTAACTGCTCAGTGCCAGCCTTCAGCTCAGTCAGGTCCTACCACAGCCTGTCGTTTCCATCACTTTTCCCAACTTTTAATTACATCCTTGGGTAACAACTCTCTGTGCTCTGTGCATACCTGGAGGGAGGTGCATGGCCTGGCAGCTGCTGTAAAGGGTTGAGAATTAATTACAAAGGACACAGGGTTTGAGCTCCTCTCAAGTGCTTGCTCAGCTGTGTAACCTTGGGGCAAGTCACTTGGCTGCTTTGTGCCCGAGCAAACCCAGCTGTAAAGCATCTTGAAAACCAGATGGTGCTCAAGGTTTAAAGTGCTCAGGAGAATGATGACGGATGGAGGAAAAAAATTAAAAAAAAAAAAGGAAATTCTCCAGCTCTTGCTGCCAGTGGGGTTAATCTGGACTGAATCAATGTAACTGAGAAGAGAATTTTCTTCGATATCTGAAAAACACCCCACACTCCCAAATCTGTTTTTCCTTTCCTCTTTTGACTTTATGTCAAGTACCTTCTCTCTCTCTTGGGTTAATTTAAACCTTCAGTGAATACATGTTTTTCCCTGGCAGCCTGAAGTTTCTAATTCAGGATCAGGTTCTACATGACTAAACTTTGATCTTTTGCATGATTATTTTTAGGCACTTCATTCCATAGCATTCTTTTCTCCCTGCTTTTCCTGCTGCCATTGCCTTCAGTGGCACAGGGATGTTCTGGGACTCAAGTACTGCCCCCCAAAATAAATACTGAGCTTTATTGCCTTCTGGAGATGGTACACCCTGGCTTAGAACCAGTGTCAAAGCCACTCCAGGATTTGTATTGCTGGTCAAACAAAGAAAACACGGAAGTGTCTGTAGCAGAATAAATGTTTGCCACATGTTAGTATTTAAGAGAAGACTTAAGTGTTTCAATATTTTTTTGCTTTAGCTAAAATGTAGCATTTTTTCCCTACAGGAATGTGGGAATACTTACTTATGTAAGGAATATTTGTGTGTGCTTCCAAAGCAGGGTGTCCGAGATTGCAAGAAGGGAAACCAATATATTTTAATCTAGTGTAAACAAGGAATATTTAAAGATGAGAGACATATAGGAGCCATTTTATCCACTACTCAGGAAAGACTTTGCATGGTTTTATTAATCACTAATGAAAATAAAACTTTGACAGGTTTGAAGTTGGATGAACTTTCTTCCCAAATAAGAAAGAATTAGAGCTGAAGGAGTGAGTTACAAACAAATCTCACAGGCTGCAGCACCAAAATCTCTCAGGCTTTTATGAAAACAAATGCCAGCAAATTGTCTTCAGCACATTTAGCCCTTGTTATACAGCCCTGGGATGGCAAAATACTTAATTGCAATTCAAAATTGGTGATCATTTTTCCAATAGAAAAATACTTCAGTTTGTATGTCTCTGACAAACTGCTCTGTTTCCTGATATTGAATCTTTGGGTTCAATATTTGAGCTATTGAATCTTTAGATTCAATATTTGAGCTGTGCTATCAGTAACTTAAAACATTGAAATTCTGTGCCATAAATACCATTCTGAAGTGCCTGTGATGACTAATGACACTGCTCAAACATCAGACTGTTAATTAACTGTTAGCCAAAGCAGAAATCCCCTGACATCCTTGGAGACCCCATGTGGGTGATTGAACTTTCGTTTTCTCCTCCTACCACCACTTGAAACTGAATTTAAAAACAGGTGCAGGTCGTTTGTGGGAATAAAACAATTTAAAATTAATCAGAACACAAGACATTCTCAACGCCCAGCTGTGGAGAACAATAAATAAACAGAAAGTGAGCTCTAGATAAAGCCAATCCAGGTGAGCCGAGTTGTCTAATGTGGGGACACAACAAATACAGAATACATTTTCAAGTCCTGGGCTCCACAAATCCTCATCAGATTCAATTTACATTTGTTCTGCTCAGGATGAGTAGAAGGTTGATTTAGCTCAGTATTTCCAGCTGAAACTGCAGCTGGGAGTGTTTTTGTATATCCATCAAACCTGGGGGTTCCCTTCTGTGTCTCTGGGTATAAATCATTGAACTTCACTTCATGGTCCTGTGAGTTGCTCGCATGGGTCTGTTTGTAGGAAGGGTTGTTGCATCATGAATTTTACCTGGTCCAACCCCTCTCACTGAGAACAGAATTATGGAAGTTCACGTTGTTGTTACTGGACCCATAAACCAGGGCAGCTCATGGGATACAGCTTCAAATCCTTGGAATGCTGGGGCACAACTGAGGCACTGCCGCTGAAGTGTGTGTTAATATGATCTGGATGCTCTGTGAGGTACCCAGGGAGGTCTGGTCTTCAGGAAAACAACAAAATCAGGAATTCACGAAGCCAAAAATTTCAGGTATCATAAAACATTTTCACCTTCAAAAAACCCCCCAAAACTAATGATTTAAACATACTTCACATGAAGGCCTTGTTTCTTTAAAACAGCATCTTGAACTTGAAGTCTAACTAGCTTGGGAAAAAAAAGTTCAATAGTTTTGGGTGACCTCCTTGCTCTTGATCAATACAGTTTGTTTTTGGGCAGATTTTAAACCACTCTGATCTATTTGTCCCTCTGTTGTTGCCATGTAGGAAACCTTCAAAAGAATGAGAAGTGTGAAAAACTGCCTACAAAATGCTGCTCCAAGGACATATTTTGCCCAAATAATCACTTTCAGAAACAGTCAACATGCTTTTAAAGAAAAATAACCTGGAAAAATAGCGATATAAAAGTTCCCTTTGAAGAGACCCTGTAAGGCTGAAGCTTGCATTTGAACAAATCTCTCCCTAAGTTTCTAAGAACACTTTCTAAACCGCCATTTAAAACCTTTCAGTTACTACTTTTCGCTGTTTATGCTCTTCATTGACTTTTTGCCTTTATTTTCCACTCTTGTGACCAAACAAATCTGGTACTTTTTGCTTGCTCAGTACAGCTCACGTTGTTCTCCTCATGCCCTGCTGCAGTTCATTGCCTGTGTTTGGGAACACCACCATCCCCAAGAGAAGCAGGATTTAATTACTGTTATTAATGAAATCCACTTTTGAAGACTAAACCATTTGACTATGCCCCTTTCAGAATGGAAATAACTGGGAACAAAACCTATTTTAAAAAATCACAGTTTGCAAATTCTTGTCTCAAAGAGCAAATTCTGTGAGTTCCTCTGCAGACCCAGTAAGTTCTGTAGGTTCCTTTGCAGAACCAGTTCAGACTTGATAGGAAGATGTGAAGACCAAGTGGAAGAGCCTCTCACACAACCTAAATTGTTACAGCTTGTTGCCTTTCTGGGGAAAACAATTGCTGTAGCTCCCTCAGAGCGCAGTGGCAGATTTCCCTTTGGAGGTCAGGGCCTGTTTCAAGCGTCTCTTCAGGTCCTGCATGTTGGGGGACTTGGGCCGGACGAGGTGGAGGCCGCGGCGCTTCTCTCCGTTGCAGCTGCCGATGATCCTGCTGAGCTCCTGGCACAGCTGCTGGAAGGCCTCGTGCACGCCCTCGCAGTTCTCCCGGGCTGACACCTCGTGGTAAGTGCCCCCCAGCTCCCCGGCCAGCTGCAGCCCCTCCTTGGAGGACACCTGCCTGGCCCGCAGCAGGTCGCCCTTGTTGGCCACGAGCAGCAGGGGGATGTTGGCGTTGGGGTGGATCCTGCGGATGTGCTGGTGCAGCGGGCGCAGCACGCGGTAGCTCTCGTAGTCCGTGATGGAGTACACGAACACAAAGCCGTCGGCCCAGTAGATGGAGCGGTTTATCTGCTCCTGGCAGCAGATGCTGTCAGTGTCATCCTGTGCCAAAGCAAGAGGGGGATGTTAGGAAAACCGCTCCACGGGACCGGAGCGTGGGGTTGGGATGAGGCTGTTGGTCATTGCACCGGCAGAAACCTCTCCCAACATGCCAGGGACAGGGGACACCCCAGTCACACCGGGCCAGGGGGTTCAGCCTGGAGAAAAGGAGGCTCAGGGGGGACCCTCTGGCTCTGCAATTCCCTGACAGGGGGGGGGGGCGGGGGGGGGGGGGTGTCAGGCTCTGCTCCCAGGGAACAAGGGACAGGACAAGGGGAAACGGCCTCAAGCTGTGCCAGGGGAGGGTCAGGTTGGACAGCAGGAGGAATTTCTTCACAAAAAGGGTGGTCAGGCATTGGCAGGCACTGCCCAGTGAGGTGGTGGAATCCCCACCCCTGGAGGTGTCCAAGGAAGGACTGGATGTTGCTCCGAGCTGGGGGACAAGGTGGGGATGGGGCACAGGATGGACTCAATGATCTAAGAGCCTTTTCCAACCTCAATGATTCTGTAATTCTGTGATTCTGTGAAAAATAAATAAGATGGTTTTATTACAAGCAGGAATTTCCATGGTTACCTCATGTTGAGATACCTGGAGGTTATCTGGGGAGATTGAAGAGCCATATTTTGTTCAGGAGCTGGTGGGTTGCATGTTGTTCTGGTCACAGTTACTGACTGCTGCTTACTGCCTTGTTTGCTGTTCTGATTGTTCTGGTGGTTCTGGTCACTGTTACTACCACTGTTTTGCTTACTGGTCTAGTAGGAAGGTGAATCAGAAAGCATGTAAGGCAGTGAGACCCACTGGATCACTGCCAGGGGACTGTGCGGCCGGGGCAGGGAAACAACCTGAGAGGTGGATGGGAACAAGCAATGAACCGCACCAAAAGGCAAGGATTGCCTTTGGAGGAAGAGGTGAGCCTGGTGTGGGAGGTGTGAGGGGGTGGTTATGTAAATCAAGAGACCTTACAAAGGCTTGTCCCCTCCCAGTCAGGTGTGCTCGGACCTGGTCACAAGGTTGAGTCACCCAGCGTGCTGAAATTAAAGGTCTTTCTTTCATGTTATTTGGCTGTCTTTAAAAGTTTAATTAGAGATATTTCTCACAATTCAGTGAACATACTGCAGGTCAGCAGTAAGGTGGAGTGGAGAGGGGTCAGAGCAAATTGGTTGAAAAGAAGAGAACAGCCAAAATACTGCTGTTGGAAAGTTTGCTCTGTGTTCCACGGTACCAAACCCATCAGAAACTCACGCTGATGTTGTGGATAAAACTGTCCTGGGCACACAAAGGGCATTATAAAATTCAGCAGGCTTGGCACACAGTTGTCCCTCAAGGTGTATTTTAGGTGTTTTCCAATCCTTTATTCAGTCTCCATAGAGGACTCCTGGTGGTCTAGTGGTTAGGATGTGATGCTCTCACCGTCGCAGCCTGAGTTCGATTCCCGGTCAGGGAACTCCCCCGGGCAGATGGAGCTCGTCAGCCCTGCAAGGCCATCCATCTAAGAGAAGGTCACTCTAAACAAACCTACGTCCTGAGGACCTCGCTGCCACTGTCCAAGCTCGCTCAGCCCTGGCAGATGAACCTTAGGATTAAAGGGTGGGCTCAGCTCAGCGCACACTGTGTCTCACCTAAAAAATCCATTGCGCAGGCTGGAAGGGTAATGACCTTTCCCAAATCTTTGTTCGAGAAGACTGACTATGATTCAGTCTCCATGGACAGAGGTTCTCACTAACTCTGTCTGGTGAAGCCTGAGGGGTTTTCCTGCCTTGCCCATCTCCAGACAGTCAAAGACATTTAAAAAAGCAATTTTTTATGAAGAACCAATCCCAGGAACTGGAAAGGAGGTGAAATCTCCCTCCTGGTTTGCAGAGCAGCAATGGGTTCATATTATTTTTTGCTGGTCACACATTTGCTCAGCCCATCCCCATCCTACTCACACAGCCACAACAATGCCCAGCACTGGGAACATAAAGCTGAATGAGACACTGCGGGCTTGAAAACAGATCAGCTCACTTTTCAAGATGAAGCTATTTCCAGCTAATCCTCTGCCCTTTGTTATCCCTGCTGGCTGTGACCCACCCAGGGAGATCCCTGCTGCAGCCACTGCCGGCCTGCTGGCTGTCTACGGACTGACATTCCTGTCAATATTACAGGATTTCTGGAACTCTGGCATTGCTTTCATACCCAACAAGGCACCAAGAATATTCTGTATTCGACTCTTGATGAACCTGGTAGGAATTAGGGGTATTTTGGGGTGAGTTCAACACCATAAATACAGAGCCTGAACTTTTATTATTGTTGTTAAATTCCACTCGAGAAATTTTCATCAACTATTAGAGCATATGCTCCATTATCTACAAAATAAATATCTGCCATTCACACTAATTTTAACAGAATTTGCATGTGCTCAGCAATCACCCCAAAGAGATCACTTTTATTTAGGCACCTAAATATGGATTATAAAGCCCAACTTCAGGAAGCAGAGGTAGAAAAGAAGGAGTAAAAATAATCAGTTCTTTCATGGCAGATCAGACAATAAAAAAAGAACTACTGACAAGTTCTTCTGTGGGAAGAAGGAAGCAGAATTTCTGAAGGCTCAGAGTATAAATTAGCCTTACAACTTCCATCAGGAGTTCTGCCAACGAACTGCTCTTTGGGAATATTTCAGGATTGCCCACAGAGACACTGGCTCATCACACCTTGCCATTCCCTGCCCTTGCCAGCTCGGCGAGGTAAATCCTGTGAAACCGTGTAACAAGCGCCCTCCTCACTCCCCCCGAGCCCCCCAGAGCTGCCCGCCGAGTGCAGGACCCTCCTCGCAGCCCTGCCGGGAGGCAATGAGGTGCAGCCCGGCCGGGCCGGGGCAGGCTGTGGGAAGAAGGGCAATTTGCGCTGTTGGTGTCTGGGCTGTCTCCAGGGTGGGGATAATTAACCACCCTCCGCGGCCTGGAAGCCTCTTTTCACCACCGAACTCCTTTCACGGCAAAAATAAAAAGCGCTAATTGCGCTGGCAAGCGTTTGGAAATGCGTGTGGAGAAGGTGAACGCTCAGGGAGCCCTAATGAGCAGAAATGCTCAGTTACCCCAGCAGGGCCCACCCGGGAGGGAGAGGGATGGAGAGTCCCCAGCGAAATGCTTTATTCGGGAAAATCAAAGGCTAATGGGCTACTTTTTAAATGGAAATCTCTGCTGCAGAATGGGTTTTGAAGCACACACAGCCGTTTGCCATGTACAGCAATGAATCACCCAACAAAGCCAGTTACCTGCTTGCTTCTGTTTCTTAAACATTAACATTTCTGGTGGCTTGAATCCCAAGGGATTCCACATGACTTCCTCCTGGAACACTCAGCCTACAGAGCGCAAGAAACTCTCTTCCCTAAGGATTTTAACAAAAAACCCAACCTATTCTCAGTCTTAACCAGTCCTGTTAGGGAACAGTGCCTTCAATTATTTCAGATGCACCATTTGATGCACACAGACACAGGCTTTTATAAGATACAGGTGTCTGTGGGAACTGTTGGGACAGTGAGACCTTTGACTGGGACAAATAAAGTGAAACTCCTTCCTAAGTTAAAATCCTGTCTGACTGAGGAACCTCAGCTGTTGGCAAGATGGAATTTTGTGGAGCTCTGGGTAGAGTCACTGAACTATAGGGCACAGCCTTAATTAGAAGAGGAGAACTAGAAAATAATATATATCCGGTCTGAAAGAGGGAATCAAATCATTCCACTCCCTCTTTTCTCCCTAGGATAGAAGGGAGAGGGGATTCCCTGTGTGAAGGGCTCATCAGGCAACCTCAGTTGTGCCTAATCCCCACCCACAGCTCCTTTATGCAGGTCCTGCCTTAGCAAGCTGGCAAAGGGCCTGTGTGCTGTGAAGTCCCACTTGAATATCTGGAGCTCTTCCACAGCAGCTTTTGTTTGCTTTTTAGTGTCCAGAGCAAATGAGGGCTCCTCTCTTCCCTCTGTGTCCCCTGGAGGCAGCAGAGTGTGGAACCTCATCAAAGCTTTCCACTTAATCTGCTTCCAGTCATGGGAGAAGTTGGAAATGGGAACTGAGGCTGGGGGAGCTTTGCTCGTCCTGTCCTGCAAACCCAGGCTGGAGCAGTTCTCCAGCCCAGAAATGCACCCCTGGGGCTGGGCTGGTCAAACAAGTGTACAGAGCTGTCCAGGGTGGCCTGAAAGAGGAGGAGAGAAGGTGCTGTTCCCATCCAGACATGTTTGGCCAACTCTAAGTTTAGACTGAGGTTAAGGCCACACCTAGAAGTTTAGGCTTGATGGTGGAAAGAGATGACCTGATTTTATCATGACATCTCAGCTATTCTATAGGAATTATTGCTCTCGTAAGATTTCCACCATTCATGTAAAACCAAATTTCACTTAATTTCCTGCTGCTTTGGCCCTATTTTCATCCTCCTGTTCTGTGTGTGAAGCAGGTCTGCAGGAAAGACATCTTAATCTTAAATCCTGCTTGGAGAAACATTTCTAGAAACACATTCCTAGTGAAATATGAAATCTAGAATATCACAGAATCATTAATGTTGGAAAAGACCTCTAAGATCCTTGAGTCCAACAGAATATCTAAAACACTGATAGAAAGAGTGGTGTAGATAAATGCCAACACCTTAAAAATAAGGAATTAATTAAAAACAAAGCAAGTGAAAAAGCACTGGAAATGACAACTGCTGGGAGGCCTCTCCCCTTGGAAAGGGAAACTTTTCTATGTAAGAGAGACTTTGGGTGTGTAACAAGGTCTGAGCTGAGCCAGCTGGGCCTCTGGGCAGGTGAGTTTTCTGCCATGTAGGGACAGAAACCATTTGACAGGAAATAAAACAACCAAGGAGTTATGATTTCCCAAGATTATGATTTTCCTGCTGTTTAATCTCGGGATGCACTAATGTGTTTGAAACAGATATGGGTTAATTTTGGCTTACTCTTCAAGGAACCTGATTTAACCACTCAAGGGCTATTAAGTGGGGCTTAAGGTACCCCCAGGAGTCCTGGGTTTAGGCCGAGGTATTTTCCTGCTGCTGGGTGGAGTCACTTAGAGGTGGAGCAACCATGAGACAACAACTGTGTGGAAAAGCACTGAGCAGATGTTTTACCTCCAGTGAGACAAAGGGAGTGTCCTGCACCTGCAGAGAGATCTGCTCCCCATCTATGGTGAACTTCCTGGAATACAGAGCACCTGGAGGGAAAGGAAGACGGTGAGTCCGGGACTGGAGGAGAAAAGAGCACAGAAAGGCAAAAGGGAACTGTTGGAAGGTGGAGTTTTGTGGGATATGTAGCTGCCCATGGGGAAGGGAACGGCCTGGCAGTGGTTGTTGTTGGCTCAATGGTGGGGGATATTTACGGGGGGGGGTAAGTTTTGGATGGACAGCCAGGATGGGGGCTGGGAAAAAGGCTCTTTGTACTGAATTAAATACTCCAAGTGGGGGCATAAATCCCAGTCAGGTTTCACCCCCTATTATTCACTTTATAAAATGTGAACTGCATTTATATTCCATCTCAAACCAAGATATCTAGGTGTTGTCTGTAAGAGGAGTGAGCTGTTTCCTACTGCATTTTTCTGGACGTCTTTAAAAAAGAAAAGCATTCTAGTTTGGGACAGTGAGTGACTGTATCCAAACCACTCAGATACTCTTTTTATGATTTTAGCAGAGTTTGGTTGAAATCCCCAAAGACTGGACGCTTTAACTTGACCTCTGGTTAATCTGGATGACACATGTTCAGGGCCAAGTGCCAGTTCAGACCATCCAGGACTGATCTAGCTCTAATAAAACCATCACTAGTCTGGCCTGGAACTTAATTTTGTTACTGGAGTGGGAGTTAAGTGACAATGAAAATCTAAATCTTGATCTTCTGAAATATCTGTGCTTGTGACAAGAACAACTTCAGAGGTTGATGTCATCATGATTTTTCTTTAGAACTTAACACAAGTCACGTGGATGTGTGAAGAAGTGCTTTCTGCACAGCTGGGGTGTACAGCCCTTCTGTCTGCTCCAAATACAATAGTCACTGCTGCCTCTAGAACAATGTGCTGCAGCTCCAACACAGAGGAACATCAGCTGCTGGAGAGGCAGCAGTTCAGATTAACAGGGAGATCAGCCAGTGACAATAATGCTTCTGAAAATCATCTTTGTTTCAAGGAAACAAGTGGGTTTATTCCAGTGGCAAAGAGTCTGAGCCCATAGAAACATTTACAAGGGAATTTAGCACCTGAGTGCAAAGTGTTTTAATAGGGACTGTGAGGGAATCCAGCCCTTGTGGGATTCATTTTGGGCTTTTTAAATGGGTCAGATATTAAGCTGAAAAGATGGCACTGTTTTATGGGAACCACGAGCAGCCAACATGTTATTCCTGTTGTGACCAAAGAGCAGGTTCTCCAGAGGAAGGAGAACATGGCTGAGTGATCTCAAATCCACTGCCACCTGTTTCTTCTTTCTGGCATATTTAGCTCTTCTCCAGCATGGCCGTTGGCCTGGGAGCTTAATGAGGAAAGCATGTGGTTCCCAGCAATGGCTCTGGCAGGAATCCACTGCACAGCTCAAGTCTGACTTGATGTACAACCTCCCCGGGAAGGGATGACGGAACAGGAAGAGAACCAGTGCAGCCAAGCATCAGGGTTACCCGGGGTCAGTGAGGGGGAGCTGTCAGGAGAAGCTTTCACATTGTATTTCATCAGACAGGCAGAGATCAAAGGTGTCATGTACTGCTCCCTCTTTCCTGCTCCTCATCCTGAGTTCTGCAGGCACCTCCAAAGTGAAGCAATCACTGCTTGGAATCCTGTCCACCTTCACCCAAACACTGTGAGCTGGATGTGCCAGTAGGAATGAGCACAGGGGACGTGATCCATCCTACAAAACCAGCCAAATCAGTCAGCATTCCTTGGAACAGAGGCTGTGAATGAAACAGGAACACACCCTCTGAGGTGCCAGCATTAAACAAGGAATGAATGGTCACTTTGCTTATCTGAGGGAAAGAAGACTTCAGTTTGGAAGTCTCCCTGGTCATAACAGCCTCTGAAAAAAGGGAATGCACAGAAAAACCCCTGAGCTGCATTTTACACCCTTTGGAATTGCTTTGGCTTCTCTGGGGTTCCAGGGAGAGCAGTGTTGGGCTTCCACAGTTTATTTGTTCCTTGAGCCTGTGTTTTAGTATAGGTATGTGCCCAAGCAAACCTTTCACTCTGATCCTTTTCCATCGAGTAGGAAAAAAAATAGCTGAAAGGATCATAAATAATGAGCTGTTGATTTATTGCTTTCATAGCTTGAGGCTATTAACTGAAAATATGCACCTTACGGACATCTAACACCGCTTGGCTTTCCTGTAATGTGCACCAGTCACTACAGAGAGCAGATTTATTTTCAAACTATCTGCAGTCCTGCTGGAGAGAGCAAACTCACCAGTGTTGGCTTCATAGTCCCCAATAAATCTCTTGGTGAGAAAACGCACAACCAGGGCTGCAAAACAATGACAAAAACATGGGCCCTTAATGGGAAACCAAAAGCAATCTGTGCAGAACACATGTAGCATCTTCCTGGAAGAATTAGTCTCATATGAAACCAAGTTAATCTCTGAACTGCTCACATGTTACTCTGCAAATACTTCTCTCAACACTCACAGAGGAAGATCTGGGGCCAGGCTGTGATACCTGATCCAGAGCTTTTCACAGCTTGTGTTGGAAGTGAGCCCTTGGTTCAGTGTGGCTGTTCAGGGTGGGACACAGAGGTTGGCTCCTTGTGACTGGAGGTAAAACAATCTGTGCTTTGCTCTGAAATAATGTAGGAAAGGACTAACAAGCCAGTGGACTGCAACTAGTCCAAATACCACATTTGTGTCCTGTGTCATACAAGAAGGGAGGGGGATGGATGGGATGGTTCTTCCTGGTCTTAAAAACTCTCCTGAAACCCAGGAGCGAGACCAGATCACACCCAGCAAACAAACTGCATGTGCTCTGCACACTTGTGTCTCCTGCAGCACCCCGGCCTTCTTATTCCCCTTAACCTGTGCTGCTTTTACATTAGAACATTTTCCTTTGTCTTGGTACTTCAGAACACTTAAGATCCCATCATGGGAACAGTAACTTATATTCCTGTAGTGCTTTCCTGTGGTAGATTCTTAGGAACTTGCAAAACCACTTAATTACTGGCTAAATAAAATGGTTTATTCTGCAAACAACTCTTATCATAGATTTCATTTAAAACAATCATTTTTTCTCACAGTGGTCACCCTTTTAGCCCCTTTAGATGAAATTGCCTGTGCAATGATCTTCAACAAACTACTTAAAAATAACAGGGAAATGTGACTGCTTCAAAGCCAGTCCAATGAAGTATTTTACTGAATCCTGTGGAACCTCAGATGTAATCAGTCAGATCTGGTCTTAATAATTTCTGACATCATGAATCATATATTCAAAAGTAAAAATGCTCATTTTACCCTCTTTCCCACTCCTTTGGAGAATAATCCAGAAAGACACCTCTTGTATACTGCTGTTTGTCTGCAGAGCATAAAATAGCATAATACAGCAGGGGGATAAGAGCCATTGGTGCCATTTTGGGGGGTGGAAATTTAGACACGGTTCAATAATTTACACAAGGCCAGGTAGAATCATCTGTGAGCACAAAACTCCCAGCTCTGCCCCTCCCCTCTCAGCCTCTGCTGCTCACACCCCCCGACAGCAAAGCCACTTCACTTTAAAAAAAAATAACTCCAAATGTTCAAGCTGCACCAAATTCCGCGGTGCTGGGTTTGCATGAGGTGTGGAGGAGCTGGGAATTCCCGCTGGCAGGAAAAGCAGGGAACACACCTGAGTTCTTACCTGTCTTGCCGACGCTGCTGCCTCCCAGCACCACGAGCTTGATGATCTTGTTGGGCACAAGGTCACCCACGGGGTACTCCGGGATGGGCAGCAGGAGGAAGTTAGTGGAATACTGGGACATGGTATCCTGAGGGATGAGCCGCATGCCAGGAATGAGAGCTGCTGCGCTCGGCCCGGGGGAGAAAAGAAGGAAAGCGGCCCCTCGGCGCCTGGTCCTGGCCGTGTATCCTTGGGGAGAGGAGCCTTCTCATCTCCTCGGAGCAGTTTTCCCCAGGAATGTGAGAGCGCCCGGCCTCCTCTTCCCGATGGCTCCGCTCAGACAGAGACTTTGGAAAGCAAAAGGGAACTTTTTGATCAGCCCCCGTGAAAACTGACTCCACCATCCCGCAGCCAATCACGAGGGGAACCGGGACATTCCTGGAGCCGGGCACGGGGAGCCTGAGCCTCCATCCCCGGCTCTCCCCGCACTGCCTCCCTCCCCACGGCCTGTTTGATGTGCTGCCTGTCCCTTGGCTCTCTGCTACCACGAGATTCTTGTGTTTTCCAGCCGTCACGATACGGTCACCCCGTGCTCTGCTCTAATCCCACCCTGAATAACCCGGTTCTGCCTGTCCGGTTCCTTTGCGTTTTCAATGGGCTCCAACCCTGCTCTGTTGTTCTCCCTGTCCTATTGTGTCCTGCTTTGGGCCCCTTTGGAACGCTGATGGGGCACTCCTCTTCAGGAAAACAAACACATTTCCCCCCCACGCCCCCCCGAGTTTTTAGGCAGCTGGGGGTTATTCCCAAATCCCAGCTGACATGTGTGTCCTCCAGGATACATCTGATCTGCTGCCTTATACGTGTTGTTGGTCCTAATGGCCCTCTGGAACATGGGTCAGCATTGGGTTGGGACACTGCAGCCTCTCCAAACATGGAAAAGGAAATTTAGAGCTGGTGACAGCCCTGGGAACCTGAGGAAGGGTGAGCCAGACAGAGGGAGTGAAGAAAGAATGACTTCTACAGGAAAAGTGAGCATAGTTTTAGGACAGCTGGGCTGTGAGGGCTGTGGGGATGAGAGCCTGTAACTGTACAGCAGCTACAATCAGCTCTCATCTCCCAGGGATAATGGGCAGGGAAGAAAAAGGGAAGAACACCGGGGAGGGAATGACCCAGATAAAGCAAAACTGCAGATAATATAAACCAGATGTAAATTAAAGAACAGAAATGTAGTTGGAGCATTTAATCTTTGAAAGACTTCTCTGAAGGGGACTGAAGAAGCAGGAGAGGCAGAGCTGCAGAGATTGCTGAGCCATGGACTGTCTGGCTGTGTGGGACACATGTATATGAACAGAGATAATCCAACCACAGCCCCTGGAGAGCTGAAGGTGCAGGTTTTCCCTGTGCTCTGCACACTCCTGGCAGGCAGGAGTAGGCTGGGCTCGCTGTGGAGAGGCTGGAGACACCAAACAGCCTCTCTGTGCCCAGCTGCTTCCACACCACTGCCCTCATCCCCAGCATGTGCCTGAGCCCTCCCCAGCAGGGGCTGGAGGGCGAGAGGGGGGTTGTGAGATACAACAAGAGGATGGGAAATCATCCCAAAGCTCTGGGGACTGCCATGACCTCAGTTTCCACACCAACACCAAGAGGATGTGAACTGCCCTCAGAAAACTCCAGCTCCAGGGCAGAGCAGTCCAGTGAAATCGACACAGGAATCTGAAGATTTATGAACATGTCACTTCTCTAAGGTTCTGTTTCCTCTCTAAAAACCACTTGTGCAGCACTCTTTGTGCAAGCACTGGGTATTGTTGCTGTGACCATCATGACAGTCAGCTGAGGAAGAGGTGGAAAATAGTCTGGAGGCCCATGCAGCTCATGGTCCTGGGAGGGAGCCTCCAGGTCACGTGTCTTTGGGGACATGGCTCCTGTGGGAATGGTTTTCAGCTCTTCCAGTGTAAATTTGCTTCCGGAGACCTAAAACACTAAAGCACTAAAAAAACAAAAATCTTTTCCGGGAAATTTCTTTCCCAGGCTGCTTTAGTCTCACATAAGTTTTGTAAGAACAGGCAAAATGAGAGGAGAAACAGGAAAAAAGCTCAAAATCTTGTGGTCAATTAATATGGCCCTTTGAAATGTGTTCTTGAGTTGGACATGTGATAAGTTTGGGATTAGCGGCAGTGTGTCACTGTCTGCCTCGCCAAGGGAAGGATGTAGGAACCTTTGTTACAATTTGCTATTAAAAGCATATGTTAGTGAGTAATATGAAAGGATTCATCACAACAGTCCTCCTACAAAACCAAGCAGCAATATATCTGTCAGCTTCTAGGTGGCCACAGGAGTTTCAGCCTGGGAAGAAAAGCCAGAAAAGAATATTCCATATGTGCAAAGACATTCCTAGAAGAAAACACCTCTGCTTGTTGCTCCAAGATTAACTGAAACAATTCAGGTCCTCCTGGACTGTCGTGCCAGTGCTGAGAAGCTCCAGAAAGACCCCTCTGAAGGGAGTCAGTCGCAGTCACACAGAGTTGGAGGGTGAGCTTCAGTGTAGATAAATGTAAGGCGGAAAAAGGATGTAAACTGTGCTTAAATGAAGCTGAACTGGGACGTGGGATGTGAAAACGAGGAGTCACGACCACGGGAGCAGAGCAGCTGCTGCGTGAGGAGGCTGGGAAAGCTGTTTGCCATGTCCTGGAGGGATGGATGCTGTGCTGACACGGGAGAGGAGATGTGTGGGGGCAGCAGTGAGAGCAGTGGTGCAGGAAATGTTGAACTGCTGCTCTTGGCGGCTGGGAGGGCTTGTGGTTGCTTAAAACAAATGTGAAAGCAGTTGTAGGCTGCCTGCTGGAAGCAGACCAGTTGATTTCCAGTTCCTTTGCAATGGGGTTTAATCTGAATTTCTTGTGCACCAGCCCAGGCTTCTTGTGCTTCTCCCCAAAGCTTGTTCCATTGGGTGCAGAAATCTCTGTCCAGAGAGAAGGCCTTTGAGTAAACATAAAAAAGCAGCATATTCTCCAAAAGTTTTAAATCTATTCTCAAGCTTCTCATAACTTTTAGCCTCTAATTGTGAAAGAATTCAAGCAGAATATAGAATCAAACCCAGAGGTTTTCAGACCTGATCCTTATCTGACTTTCTTGATTGTCAGAAGAGTCTTTTCACTGAGTGAAACCATGCAGAAGGATTCACACTCTTTGAGATGGTGTAACCGTTGGCATGTAAAATAACAATTGTTTTTAAAGGAGATTTTAATTCCTTGTGCACAATGGACTTATATTTAGCTAAGAAACCCATGTTTTAAATTCAAATTCTCTTGGAAAAACAATAGCTTAAATTAGAGGGAGAATGTTTGCAAAACTGAGAGTGACTTTGGAAACATTTGGAGATTTCACAAACCACTCCTTCGGCTGCTCATGCAAAGATTTGTGCCTTTGTGTGTTGTACAGAAATTATGTTACTTTCACACCAAATTTTTAACAGATTTATTTATTGGTCTGTGTTGCTTTTGGCTCTGCTTTTATAAGATTTTCTATTTATATTGTTGTTGGCCCTCCTACACATCTTCAGAGATGAAGCTTTCCAAAAATAAAAATATTTGCCATTAGCACAGTGCCTGTCACAGGGGGATGGCAGGTTTCTGTTAAAACTGGTTGTAATTCTTCCTTGTGCATTGTACAAAAGGAGTAAGAGATGAGCGGAGCCACAGCAACCTTGCAAAGATCCCAGAACACTGGGAAAAGGCTTTCCCTCCTGCCTAGCACTGCCAAAAATGAGCTTTCCTCCAAAAAATCCATTTGTGATGGTTGCATTTGCCTCTAACTCATCTTTTGTACAGTATATTGATGTTAGTGGGGCTTGGATGGGGAAACTGGGCTCATTTGGGGGCAGAAATGGTAAATGTGGTCCTGGGGAAAGGCCACTTGCTTTGGCAGATCCTGAGATAAAACTCGTGTTCGCATCCCCTGCTCCTGAATTTATTCCAGCCCCCAGCCCACTGACCCCTGCAGCTCTGCCTGACCCTCTTGGTTGCAAACTGGGGGCCCAAACCGGACTTAACAAAAATTTTATTTTAACTACCTTTTTGCTCCCAGTGACTAAATACCCTCAACGCTGGGAAAGGCAAAAGAGGAGGAGATAAGAAAGGAACAGAAAGGGATGGGATGCGCTCGAGGAATCAGACTTGATGTGCTTTTAGCCCCATAATTATAACCAGCACCATGTTGTTCTGATCCTGAGGCCAAGGGGACAGGAAATGTCCTCAGATGCTGCTGCTCCAGCTGTGATAAATCACATTTGATTTTATTTTGGGATGTGAGAGAGATGATCATTTAAATATACAGTTCAGTGTGATTAAACACTGCACAGATCCCACTCTTCCTGCTTTTCCTGTCCCTAATTTTGGTGCTTTGCTGTTGATGGCAACCCTGTAAGGAGCACATGTCCTGTTTCACTTTTGGGATCTTTTGTAAGGAGTGGGTTTTTTTAGGTTACTAAACATCCTCCCTGGGGAGCCTGGAGGGGATGACGTGGAGAGCACAGTGTGCAGAGGGGAACATCGCTGCAGGCAGAGACTCAAATGGAATGGAAACATCTTGGCCTCATAAAAAACTTTGTGCTTTGGAAACTGAACCATCCTCCATTCCCCACAGATATTCCCACAAGGTCAGGGCTGGGGTGTGGAAATGGTCCTGGCACTGCTGGGAGTGTGGGCAGGGAGCTCCAGCCACATTTGGACAGCCCTCAGTTCATGGTTTGAGGAGGAATATGGAATAGGAGCCAGGTCCTTCCAGGTTGGACACAGTCTGGGTATGTGCACCAGCCAGATGACAAATATTCCTCCCCATCCCTGGCTTCACGAGGGATGAGCCTCTGAGGAGCATTTGCTCTCAGCGTGTGCTGTGGGAAGAGCTGTGTGGTGGCTCAGGAGCATTTTCCACTCCTTTTCCCCTGGGGTTACAATGGACGCTGTTGTCATTCCCAGCTCTGTGCTCTGAAAGCCTTTTTGTGATTGAGTTGGAGCAGGACACGTGGTGTGGGATAGCACAGTGTCACTGGGGCAACACCACTGTCCCACCCTCACAAAATTCCATTTCTGGGTGCTCACAGCCCTTGGGAGGAGTCTCAGGAATGGCAGTTTCCTCATGCTCCAGGCTGGCCATGGTTCCCCCTGGCTGTGGGGTTGATGACATTCCCCAGCTCCCCATTTTCATCCACCATGGGGATGGTGCTCTCCCAGTTCCGCCAGTGACACGTGCACTGTCCATCCCACTGGGGCCCCCAGCCTCCACCCTGGGCCAAAAGAATGTCCCACTGGAGCCTCCAGCCTCCTGCCTGAGCCCAGGGAATCAGGGAATCATAGAATACCTTGGGTTGGAAGGGACCCACAAAGACTGTGGAATCACAGGATCATAGAATGTTAAGGGTTGGAAGGGACCTTAAATCCCATCTTGTTCCATCCCCTGGGCAGGGACACCTTCCACTAGCCCAGGTTGCTCCAAGTGCATCCAACCTGGCCTTTGACGTTTCCAGGGATGGGGCAGCCACAGCTTCTCTGGGCAGCCTGTGCCAGGGCCTCCCCACCCTCACAGCCAGGAATTCCTTTCTAATATCTAAACTAAATTTCTCTTCTTTCAGCCTGAATCTGTTCCCCCTTTTCCTGTCACAGTTATTGATGAACAGTTCCTCTCCACCTTCCCTGAAGCCCCTTCAGATCCTGGAAGGGGCTCTGAGATCTCCACACAAGGATCATTCAGTCCCGCTCCTGGCTGTGCACAGACACCCCAACAATCCCACTTTGTCCCCGAGTGCGTTGCCCAAACCCTCCTGGAGCTCTGGCTGCCTTGGTGCCGTGTCCACTGCCCTGGGGAGCCTGGTCAGTGCCCACTGGGAGCAGGTCTCGCCCCACACTATCCCTGCAGTGCCCCGGAGGGAACTCACACCGGCACAGCCCCCTCCAGAGCCCTGGAGCCAGCTGGTCCTGCAGTGATGGTGAAGGGCCTGGATTCGAAGCCATGTGAGGACACTGAGGGCACTTGGTGTGTTCAGCTGGAGGAGACTGAGGGGAGACCTCAGTGCAGTTCCAACTGCCTGGGCAGGGCCAGAGGAGGGGCAGGGACTGAGCTCTGCTCTGGGGGGACCAGGGACAGCAGCCAGGGAATGGCTGGAGCTGTGTCAGGGCAGGCTCGGGTTGGATCTCAGGGAGAGGTTCTTCCCCCAGAGGGCACAGGGTGTGACTCTTAGGGCTGGGCCTGTGCAGGGCTGAGGGTTGGACTCGATGATCCCAGTGAGTCCCTTCCAACTCGGCACATTCCGGGATTCTGGGATCACAGCTCTCTCCCACACCGCGGGTCTCTGCAGTGGGACCGGGAAGGCGGCGGAACGCTGCTGTCGGGCGCGGGGGACGCTGTTCCGGCGCACGGCCGGCGCCGTTACCGGGTGGCGCAGCTGGCGCTGTCAGTCGCGGCCCAAGATGGCGGCGGCCGGGCGCGGATGGAGGCGCTGGTGACCGTGCGGAGACTCGCCGCCGTCTGTACCATGGTGAGCGCCCGCACGGCCCCGGGGGGGCCCAGAGCAGCCCCCGAGGGGCGCCCAGCCCGCCCGCCGCGCGCGGCCGCTGGGCGATTAGCGAAAGCGGCTAAAAGACATTGTTAGGGCAGGCCCCGCCGGGCCCGCGGGCTGAGGGGGGTGAGGAAGGTGTATGGTGTCTGGGAGGTGTGACGGAGTGTGAGGGGGGGTGAGGGCCAGGTGAGGGGTGAGGGGGGTGAGGGAGGTGTGAGGACTGTATATGGGGTCTGGGGGCTGTGTGAGGGGGGTGTATGTGTTCTGAGGGGAGTGTATGGGCTCTGAGGGGAGTGTATGTGCTCTGAGGGGAGTGTATGGGCTCTGAGGGGAGTGTATGGGCTCTGA